ATATGGGCTTTTGCGAACTTTCGGCTCTCCCACGGTCCAAGACGGCCCCAGAGGTTACCAAGATGGCCCCAAGAGCGCCCAAGAGGCCTCTGAGATGGCCCCTGACGGCCCAAGAAGTCCCCAAGACGGCCCCAACAGAACCCCAAGACGGCTCAGGAGACCTCCAAGATACCCAAGATGGCCTCCCAGACGGCCCCAAGTCGGCCCTTTACGGCATCCGACGGCGTCAGACAGGCCAGGATCACCCTCAGACGGTCAACGAGCCTCCCAAAGAGCTTCCAAATGGTTCCAAGAGGCCAGAAGAAGCCCCCAAGGGGCCTGAAAGAAGCCCACAGGAAGTTACCAGGAGGCCCAAAGAGTGCCCCAAGAGGCACCCAAGAGGCCTCCTCCTCCTCCTCCTCCCCCTCTTCCACAATTACACAATATGAAAATACTATCCCACTTCCCCTGATGGCGTCCCGAAGATGGCCGACCCCCCCCCGCGTACTGTTTTTACACAGGATTCCCGGGAAACGGGTTTTCGCCTGCGTTTTTTTCAAAATGCTGCTCTCGCTGAAGCGCCGGCCTCATTTCTGCTCCCGAATCGTTCCGAATCGCGCTCCCGCTGCAGCGTGGGCCTCATTTTCGGATCGGTGTTTGGCCTCCGTCGCTCAGGATGGCGTTCTCGCCCCAGCGCGGGCCTCTTTCTCGCGCGCCCATCCGCCCGCCACCACCGCCACCACCGCCACCACCACCACCATCACCACCACCACCACCATCACAACCACCACCACCACCACCAGCACCACCACCACCACCACCACCACCACCACAACCACGCACACACGCACGCACGCACGCACGCACGCACGCACGCACGCGCACCACCGCCCACTACGCACGCGCGCGCGGAGCCACAGGTCCGCTACGACACGCGTCCGCGGATAGAGAAAATCAGCGCCATGGTAAGGGATGGGAGGGAGGGGTAGGACGTCAGATATGACGCGAGCGCACCTTGCTTGTCCCCCTCCCCCTCCCCCTCCCCTCTCCCCTCCCTCCCTCCTCCTCCTCCTCCTCCTCCTCCTCCTCCTCCTCCTCCTCCCTCCTCCTCCTCCTCCTCCTCCTCCTCCTCCTCCTCCTCCTCCTCCTCCTCCTCCTCCTCCTCCTCCTCCCTCCTCCTCCTCCTCCTCCTCCTCCTCCTCTCTCCTCCTCCTCCTCCTCCTCCTCCTCCTCCTCCTCCTCCTCCTCCTCCTCCTCCTCCTCCTCCTCTCCTCCTCTCCACTCCTCCTCCTCCTCCTCCTCCTCCCTCCTCCTCCTCCTCCTCCTCCTCCTCCTCCTCTCTCCTCCTCCTCCTCCTCCTCCTCCTCCTCTCCTCCTCCTCCTCCTCCTCCTCCTCTCCTCCTCCTCCTCCTCCTCCCCTCCTCCTCCTCCTCCTCCTCCTCCTCCTCCTCCTCCTCCTCCTCCTCCTCCTCCTCCTCCTCCTCCTCCTCCTACCACTACTACTCCTCCTACTCCTCCTCCATCCCTTGTCAATATAGAGATGTCAGCAGGGCGGGCCGGGCGATTCGCCAGAGACAGCTTCACTGATGGAGGACGGGCCGCTTCCAAACCGTGGCTCTCGCCTTAGCGCCGCGCACATCCGTCTTAAAGCTTGCAACAGCTTCACGGATGGAGGGCGGGCCGTTTTCCGATACGCGTGGTAACATCACGGGCGCCTCTGTGTGCTCGCGTAGCTGTATAGGAAGTTGCTGTGCTGAGCGCATTGGGGGAACCGAAAGCGGCGGCACGCCTGGCAAACGTGTGGACACACCCGACAGTCAGAGCACGAAGAAAGGGTGAAGCGGGAGGAGGACGACGACAACGAGGACGAGGAGGAGGATAGGGAATGGGAGTTGATGCGAAGGAGGAGCAGGCGCGCGGGCGAGCAGGGAAAGAGGGGAGCGGACAGAGGAAGGACAACGACGAGGAATGATAGCAGATGATTTCTCAGCTCGTCAGCCACGGAGGAGCGCCACCCGTCCGAGGAGCGCGCCAGCTTTGCTGCGCCGGCCTTGCACGAACGGTGCCAGGCGTTCCAGATAGACTTGTGGATGCCATGACAATGGACACTCTAACAATCCGATCATTGAATTGAAGATGTGTTCAAAATGTGTAAAATCTGTCATCAAAATGTTTCAACTATGGTTTAACTTATTTAAACCATGTTTGAAACTTTTTTTAGACATCTGGCAATTATTTGGCAGCATGCTTCCTCTCCGTTAAGCGACTTCCACACAGATAGGCTGGGGTGCCCGCTCAGAGGCGCAGGGAAACGGCGGTCGGCGAAAGTTGCACGCGTGGCAGCACCCAGGGAAGCGTGGAAAACGTCATCCACAGGGGCTATCCGGGCCGAGGTTGTCCGCGATGAGTCTCCCTTCCCTTCTTGCGGTGGCGATGAGGGCCGCGCAGGCTACCTCCGTCGCCTCAGCATCCGCGCCCTGCGTCCCGGGGGGGGTGTTCGTCGGTTGCTACGACGCCGAGCGCCTGATCAAGAAAATTTTCTCCTAGTTCATTTCGGAGCCAGTCGCCGTCTTCCGTGGGGATGCTGCTGAGGCTCAGTTGGAGTCTCATCCTTAGGCCTTCCGCGTTGATCCCTGCGCCTGCTGGGTGTCGGCACCGGGCCCCGAAGCGTGTGAGGGGGGTGCCGAATCGGGTGCGGGGCCGCCGTGCGGACCCTGCCGCTGGGGCCCTCGGTGGAGCTCCCTATGGAGCCACGAAACGTGTGAGAGGTGTGCCGAAATTGACATGCGGAGGGCAGATGCAGGGATGGGAGGAGGGAGGAGGCGGGAGGAAGGAGGAGGAGAACAGGAGGAGAACGCGGGGCGCTGTCTCTTCAAAACGAGGACCCAACACCACAGAATGGTTGGGAATTTGGATCTGCGTAAACCGCATCCCGCTGTCCCCCCCCCAGGGACCCCTAGGGCGCAGAAGTGGCGACATGTGCGCGCCTGGCTGTGAGAAGGACGAGAGGGACAGCTGAGTCCGCTGAACACACTATTCCACTGGACCCCCAGTGAACGGCGACAGTGGTGCGTAATGATAGCACCCACGGATGGCAAGGGGATAGCTGGATCTGCAGGAGGGACCACTCCGCTGACCCCCAAGGCACGCACGCCCGCAACGACAGCTGAGCAGCTGGTAGCACTCAAGCACCCACGGGATGGCGAGTGTAAAAGCTTCATCTGCGCAGGGTCTCACCCCGCGGACCCACGAGGGGAGCAAGGAACGTTGCGAAAGCCGTGCGCACGGCAGCGCCCAGTGGGGGGGGGGTGGGGGGCGAGAGAGGTGCTCTGATCTGCGTGGCAAGTCCGCGCGCCAGACCTCCCCCCCGCCCCAAAAGGTCCGCTGGGCGGCCCCAAGAGAGCCCAAAGACGGCCCAGGACGCGCCACGCACCCCGAGAGGGGCCCAGGAGGAGGAACAGAATTGATACTTCGAGCCTTTCCCCGAGATGGCCTCCGAGGAATGCCAGCAGGCCCCAAAGAGGCCCCCACAGGCGCCCAAGACGCCCCCGAGATGCCCCCAACATGTCCTAAGAGGCGCCCGCGAGAGGCTGCCCAGGAGACCCGAAAAGCCTCCGAGGGGCCTGTGATCCACGACCCAAGCAGGGCGGCGGGACGCGCCTGAGACCACTGATAAGGGGCAAGCCATTGCTGGACATTGGCCAACATGTGCTAAGCTCTGAGCCTACTCCCAGCATTGCCGCGAAATCTTAATGTTTTAGGGCTATAGGGCTACGAGGCTGTAGAGCTATTGGGCTATTGGGCTATAAGGCAATAGGGCTATAGGGCTATAGGGCTATAGGGCTATAGGGCTATAGGGCTATAGGGCGATTAGGGCTATAGGGCTATTGGGCTATTGGGCTATAGGGCTATAGGGCTATAGGGCTATAGGGCACCTGGGCGTGCCGCCGAAATCGGCGCCATACCTCACCTAACAGTACGAATCCGCTAGGACCTCTACAGAGGCAAGCTCTGATTGGGGAGTATGACTTTTCTATCAGGGCTCAGAGCATGTCCATACTGTACGGGCCACAAGGCTCTCATTGCTGCACGGCTCCCCAACCTGAGTCGGACCCCTCATCGCTCGCCGTCAAGCGTATGCCTCGGCCCGCAACTTGAGCCGCAATTTACGTCGGATCCACGTCAGATTCACGTCGGATCTGCAGCGAGTTCACGCCGAATCTACGTCGGACTTGCATCGAAATATCGCCGCGCGAACGTCGTCCCAGATCTGAGCCCATCCCCCCCTGACGTTCCCCCATAAGCCCATCCCTCCCCCGAGCTGACTACCTACCAGACCACCCCCACCCATCCCGAAGACCCGAATTTCGGGTTGGGGGGGGAGGGTACGGGCTTCACATGTGTTTTTTCCAGTGATCCCCGACCCCCCCCCCCGGAAATGGAGGGCAAGTCGGGGCCTTCGGGCTGGGCCGGGGTGGCGGCTTGGTGGGTGGTGACCTCACGGCTGCTCCCGAGGCAGGCGGGCGAAGAGGGGCGCGGAGGCGGGAGGCCGGGGCGCGCCCGCTGCAGGCGGTCGGGGCCGAGACCGAGGAGCCGCCCCCGTGCTGGACGCCCTGCCCGACGGCCCCAACCCAGCCCGAAGACCCGAACTTGGGGTTGGGAGGGGCACGGGTTCCACATGCGTTTTTCGAGGTTCCCCGACGCCCCCCCCCCCTCGCTGGGAAAAGGGGAAAAGGGGGGGCAAACTGGGGCCTTCGGGTTAGGTCAGGTCGGGCGTGTCCCTCCAAAGGGGGAAACACTCAAAAAATAGTCAGAAAACAGTCTGGGGACTAGTTTTGGGGGTACTTTTTGAACATTTGGGAGTATTTTGGGGGTGTGTCTTATTTCTCGTCGAAAATCCCCCTGCAGGGGGGCACGCCCGACTCAAGGGTTGGGTTGAGGTGGCTCGGTGGGCGATGACGTGCGGTGCCCGGGAGGGGAGCCCCGTGCGCCGACCCGCGGCGCCAGGGAGGCGGCAGAGCGGGAGGGTCCGTGCCGCGGTGCCTCTGCTTGTGCTGGTGCAGGAGCAGCTGGTTCATGCCGACGCAGCCTCCTCCTCCTCCTCCTCCTCCTCCTCCTCCTCCTCCTCCTCCTCCTCCTCCTCCTCTGGGGGGGAAGCGCCGCTGCGAGGCTCCAGCTCTCGGGTGAGTGCGCTGGCGCTCGGCGGCGTGCCCGCCTCGGGGTGCCTTCCAGCGGCTGCGCCTCGCCGAGCGCGCCGCCCGGGGATCCGGGATCGGGCCGGGCTCTGACCCCAAAACCACGGGGAGCGCTAGGGTCGGGTCGGGCGAGAGGGGGGGATAGCAAAGGGGGGGTTTGAGAATCTGCTCGCGTGGCTGATTTTCCTGGCGCCTCCTGGCGCCGGAGACGGCTATGTATCGAGGAATGGGCCCCTCGGTGAGGCCGAAACCAGCTGCATGCAGCAGATTTCGTAACCCCCCCTTTCCCAATCCCCCCCTTTCGTTCGGCCCGATAGGGGGGGGGGCAGCTCAGGAGGGCGAGGAGTGAGATGAAGTCGGCGGTACCACGCCGATGCATCGGTGATGGGCCCCCGATGGCAGAACCTGGCGCTTCTGGGAGCGGCGGGCCAGCGAGGACTGAGCGATGGGGGGACGATGCATCCCCCCCTGGGCCTATCTCCCCCTAACGTTGCCCCTGAATCTGCCCACCCTCCACGCCAGGCCCGAGAGAGAAGCTTCAGGAGCCTGGGCGCCTCATGGCAGCCCAGAATCAGGAACGCGCTTCGGAACACATGTGAAGCGCATTGCAGATTGCGTAGACTCACCTGGCCCTGGCTCTGCAGATTGACAGGCCTTCGAGGATCGGTGGCCCCCTCTGAGTGCGAGCGCGGCTAGCTTGCACTGGACCGATTCCAGAGCACTTGTCCACTGAACTTGTAGGCGGCGGGGGGGGGTCTGAGCTGGACAAGCCCCGACAAATTCGGCCAAGAGGGGGGCAGGAGGGCAAACTCGCTCAAAATGAACCCCCGGACCCCCCTCCCAGGGTCGAAACTGGCCAATGCTTCGAGCCGCGCCCGGCCGTGTGGCGATCGGGGGGGGCACCTCGCCCCCTCCCCTGCCGGCCAGAGCCAGCGCGGGGCCACCTCCCCAGGAGAGGGGCCCCGACGCTGCACGGCGCTCACGCTCCGGCACTCCGAGCGGGGGACGCTGCGGGCGGGGCCGGTGCGCGCTCCACCGCGCGGCACGGCGGAAGTCGTCGGGGGTCACCGCGGCTCCGGGCACCCCCCGGCCGATCACGAGGCGAGGCGAGCGGGCTCGTCGGAACGAGGTAATCAATGCTTTGGGGCTCCGCAGGCCTCACTGCCTGGCGTTGCGATGTCTTCGCAACAGGCAGTTCTGACTCGCTTCGGGCCCTGGCACCCTCACGTGTCGATCTGGCTCGAGACACGGCGCAGAAAATGATGGGCTCCAGGACTCCGCTCGTGATCTGTAACGATGTTGATCTGTGATCTGTAACGCTGTTGATTTGTTGTTCGCAGTGTCAGATCTCAGGGCTACGTGGTCACCGTGCTGCCATGAGGAACGCTGAACGAGGAACCAAGGGGGCCTTTCCAGGACACGAATGATGCCATGATCCGATTGGCTCAGGAAACGTTCCAGGCAGGCCGAAGTCTCTGGCGGCACTCTTTTCTGGAGCCCGTGCGGACCAGTAAGAGATCTTGGAAATCCAGCAATTCTGAAGCGCATCATTATCGTTAGGATGGGCATGTCCCCCTAGAGGCGGATTTTCGACGAAAAGCCAAAAATAGTCAAAAAGACTCCGGAAGTGTCAAGGATAGTCAAGAAATCGTCCCGCATCTTTTGTGTGACTATTTTTGAACTTTCCTCCTGTAAAGGGACGTACCCGATTTAACATTGTCACTACTTTTTGCTCCTCATATCTTCTAGCCACGACCAGCCCCGGCCGCGAATGGGCCCCAGACGCAGGCGTGCAGCCCACGTGGGACCGCCAACCGCACACCGCAGGCGTGGCACAAGCGAGCAGGCGACGCCAAGCATCGACATCGATCGCCCGCTGGCCGATTCGACGGATCCCGAACCCACACCCTGAAGCAAGCTTTTCGGCTCCACGTCAGGGGGACCTTCGCACAGGGTGGCCCTCGCCAAGGATGACTTCTGGTGCGCTGCTGTGTTGAAGGGAGGGGCGCCCCCCCCCCCAAAAAAAAACCCTTTGGGCGCCGTCGGGACGGATGGGCGGGGCGACCCGAAGCGACCGGTAGAGCCCAGCACCGCACAGGTCACCCCGGCGAACAGCCATCCTGCTGGCACAAATCAGGCGGGCCCGAGGGAAACGGGTCCTGCACCAAGGGGCATCCCCTGGGTTTTCCATCCAGGGTCGCGCTTCACTGCCTAGCGGCCCAGGGAGCGCCCCGGGGGCCCGAAGACGCCAGAAAACCTCCTGGAGCCCCTTCCCTCTGCGCCAGGTTACCTCCATGGCGGACCCTTCTACCCAGACATCCTTCGACTGACATGTTCATTGCGCGGACCGACATTCCGACCCTTCTCCCAGAGTTGGCGTTTCGCCCCCGATCCGTTTCTGATGGCCCTGGGGCTCGATAGCGAGACCAGGAGGCCGAAAGAGAATGCCCCGCTTGAGAAAAACGTATCGTGTGACATCCGAATATCTGCCATGGCGACTCCCTGTAATTACGCGCCGCCGCGTCGACCACTAACGGCGGATCCAGCGGACCCCGAGCCCACGCCGCGCAGGACGAGCGCCGCGCAGCGTGCAACCACGCGCGCGCCGGGCGCTGATTTCGCGGCGAGAGGTGGGCATCCGGCACTCGTCACTCCATCGGCGAACTGACCCGGAGCTAACACGACGCACGACGCACGGCGCCGAACAGGCGTGCCGGGAGGAAGGGAGCGAAGCGGTGGGAGAGAGAGGGAAGGAGGGAGGGAAACTGAAAATTGCGACGCGGAACATGAAAGATTGCTTCCCGCAACGGGAAGCAGTAGAGCGATGCATAGCGTGCAAAGCGGGGGGCGCAGTAAAGGATCCTGGAGACCCGGCACGGCAGCGGCAAAAGCAGGGTGAGAAGTAGGCAGGGCAAGTGAACCTACCGTTCGAGTCTGGTGCTCAAACGAGTCCGTCGTGCTTTGTTCACTCAAGCAGACAACTGCAGAAAGGGCTTTACTGCCCACTCTTCTTTAAAAGTTGCCTATCTGCAAGGGGGCAGGTTCACCTGCGTTCGACGCGTCCCTGGGCTGGCGGCCTTCGCTCCATCCAAAAGGCACACTGGCCCCCCACGGCGCCAACCGCAAGGAAACTTGACGGCGCCAGTGGAAGGGATAAACGCACTCCCGCAGCCCGTGGGACAAGCAGAAGCAGGCCAATCGACCCCCCCACCTCTCAGATGTGAGGCTATCAGGGAGCACTGCCAAAACAAGCGCGAGCTGCCTGGACACTGCCCGAGCAAGCCCGCCCACTTGAGCGCTCTACTCTTCAATCTCGCACGTGGGCGCCCGCATGCGTTGGAGCACGTTTCCAACCCACAGCGGGTCAATGCGACTCTTGGAAATGAAGCGAGCATCCCAAAACCCGCATTCTTGGAAATAAAAGCTCGCATCCCCCACCCCCAATGGACCATTGCAGCTCTTACATGCACATCCACTTTCCGACTCCATGACACCTCATAACACAGTCATGAGAGTCATCTCCTTATCTCTGCGCGAGTGAGCTATGCTATAGCCGCTGTACTCGACCACGGCGCGGCCATTGCTGACCTGGCCGTCCATCACGCGGAAGATTAACTCTCGGCCCACGCTGCCCTCGGCAATGAGGTCGGCTCGCGTGCCCCGAGCGTCGCGCCTGCGAAAAACGTCGATTTGCTCGGCGCACACCTGGTCGGCTAACAACCACAGGTGGCCAGCCACGGCGTCCTCGGACACCGGCTGGACCGGGTCCACGAGCAGGGCGCTGAAAAGGACATGACGTCTATGGTCAATGACGAGGTCTGCACTATCGCGCAACACCCCCCCCCTCAGCCCCCTGATCTCCTCGGCAGAGGCGGGGCCGCACACCGTCTCGTGCAACGCGAGGAGATACGCCCGCAGCCCGTCTGCCCCGCCGCATGCTGCAAGCAGCTCGGAGCCGAATGATGCTCTGCATCCAAGCTTGCGCGATCGGCCCACTGCGCCCAGCAGGTGGCACACCTGTCTGCCGTCGCGGCGGCACTTGCCGAGACGCACGCGCACGGCCCCTTTCATGCCGCACCCTGACTCCTGCTCCCTCTTGATGACCTATCACCGCGCACGCTGAGTTGCCTGGCACACTCCACCCATGGAAATACGACGCGCGCCTTGACCTTCTTCATGGTCAGAACAAAAGAGCAAGCTACATCACGCGTCGGATGAGCAGCATGTTCTCGGCTCGTTGCAGGGCGACAATGCACGCTGCGACGCAGTACTGAGTGGACCGGGCGAAGGCCGCTGCTCCCAGGAGAGAGACAAAGACGTCGTGAAACTGACCTCTGGTCGGCATGAGAGCGTCGACGCGCTCGCCCTTGTCGAGCGCCGCCCTCCGGCACTGAGGGGACGGCTTACTCCGCAGTGGGCGAAGTCGTCGCATTCACCCTTCACCATGCCGAAGACTTTCTCGACGCGACCGATCAGCCGCTCGACGCGATCCCTGCGCCCAGCGACCATCAGATCGCCAACGCGCCTGGACAGCGTGGGCACTTGCTCCGAGACGCCCGCAGCACAACTGCCCGACGTCCTGCGCTTGACCTCAAGCTCCGGGACCCACGTGCCAGTCTCGGCGCTGAACTCAAGTGAGCGAGCGACCCAGGCGCGCTCCATGGACAAGCCCCGGGGCGCATCCTTGCAGCCCGCGCCCGGCTTGAAGCGGCGCTGGCACTCGGCGCGCCCGACGAAGATCTCGCAGCCAGGCACCTGCCTGAGGATGGCTGCACTGCCGGGCGGCAGGCCGAAGCTCACGTCTCGAGCTCCTTCGCCTCGCCCCTGCATCTCTGCATAGGCCACGCCCCCTAGGAGCGCCTGCTCGACGTCGACGGCGACGCACACCGAGTCG